GGCATGTGAACATCCACGTGTACACTCATGTTCCTTCGGCCCTCAAAAATGTTGAAAATATCCGGTGTGGCCCTTGTGGTCAAATGTTTGGAGACCCCTGGGCATGTGACATGTAGCAAGATCCTTGGATGAGTGAGGCTGGAGCCAAGGGTTCTGCAATCCTAGGCCAGTGTTCCAGCGTTCGCCCTGCCCTGATCGTTACACCCAGGTTTAACTTGATTCCGTGTAAAGTGTCGCAGTGTACAACACTTGTTCTGTTTCCCCTGCTCCACAGAATGGCCCCAGTGCGAGGTCATGTCACAAAATGTGCACTGACATCCAGCGAAGGCAGATCTACATGCTGGGCCGTTACTTGGATTCCTCTGTGAGGAACAGCAAGTCTTTGAAAAGTGACTTCTATCGCTATGACATTGACACAAACATGTGGCTGTTGCTAAGTGAGGATACTGCCGCCGATGGAGGCCCCAAGCTTGTATTTGATCACCAGGTTAGTGCGTGCTGAAGCACAAGAACTCCTCCCCACTATGATAACTCTCATTATTACTTTCCTGTGAATGATAATATTGTGCCTTCCAAATCTCGGGTGCCTTACAAAGATGACGTAGAAAGGCTTCTAGGTCTTGAAGGGCTTGAAGTCTAGAAGCAGATTCAGGAAAGACAGCAGAGGAACCAAAAGGAAATGGAGGCTGGGTAAACCGGAAAAGCATATGCTGAAGTGCTGAGGCTTTTGTTACAGCATGGCACAGGGAGGTGGAGGAGACCACATTTAAGTAGGTCCCATGCTTGCTGTTCACCCAGATGAACTGTAGGGCTTGGGGAATGGAAAGGAAGTTCTCGTTAGGCATCCTTCAGTCTCAAGAGAGTAGGGTAATGTACTCTGTGTGGAGGATTTGGAACAGCATCTAATGTGGCTGAGGAGGCCAATTCGAGAGTGACAATCCCTTCCACACTGAAGACCAATACAATCTGTCCCCTGTCCAGCTCCCTGATTTGGCTGCTTTCGTGATTGCCTCTTTGCCTCAGCCTGCTGGACAAGGGTCTCTTCAAATTGGGAGAGGCCGTGATGCACCGCCGGCTTCCAGGCTGAACGCTAAGACGTCAAGGTTTCCTATCAGTTGAGGTCGATTCCTAAGCCCTTCAGATCCCACTTGCAGATCTCCTTGTATCGCAGCTATGGTCTCCCTCTGGGGCACTTTCCCCGCACTAGTTCTCCATACAGGAGATCTTTGGGAATCTGACCATCAGCCATTCTCACAACATGCCCGAGCCAACGTAGACGTTGCTGTTTCAGTAATGTATACATGCTAAACATTCCAGCTTATTCTAGGACTACAGTACTCTATTTGGAACTTTGTCCTGCCAGGTGATACCAAAAATGTGTTGGAGGCAACACATATGGAAGGTGTGTCATGGAGTCTGATGAAGTCGACGGGAGGGATGGTGGCAAATTTTTAGGTTTGAGTCCCAAGTCGGAGTCCGTATTAAAAAGGGAGGGGTGCGTGGGTCCCAAGTCGCAAGTCGAGTCTGAGTCATTGAAAAAACAAACCAACCCCGAGTCAAGTCACTGGTTTCGACCTGTCCTGTTTGACAGCAAGTCCAGTGACTTTAGTCTCCGTCCCTGGTCAACAGTATCCACGAAAACTTGTTCCATGATGAATCTCTGGTAGTCTTTCAGCTACCTTGGCTCGGCTTTCTCAGACCAATGTCCTTTTATTGCAGATGTGCATGGATTCAGAGAAGCATATGATTTACACATTTGGAGGACGGATTTTGACATGCAACGGCAGTGTGGACGACAGCAGAGCCAGCGAGCCGCAGTTCAGCGGCCTCTTCGCCTTCGACTGCCGGTGCCAGATGTGGAAGCTCTTGCGAGAGGATTCCTGTAACGCCGGTCCCGAAGACATCCAGTCCAGAATAGGGCACTGCATGCTGTTCCATTCAGTAAGAATGAGCCCCAGCCAGGAGCTCTGCAATTCTCTTCTAGCCTCACACTGTTTATAAAACTTCTAAAAAAGTCTTTTAAAAAAAAGGAAAAGTAGACCTGAAACCTTTAATCCATAGATGAATCAGCTAATGTGCTGATTATTCAGTGAGTAGCCAATTGTAAAAACAAAGTGTACTGCCTCTATACCATCCCACAGCGTGGTATATAAAGCACTCTCTGCAAAGTTTACAAGGTAATGATGCCGTTACACATTCCCTGCCCTCCCCAGCAGGATGGGTACTCACCTGATTTGTGAACAATGGGTATGTTGCTTTTAAGAACCGAAGAAGCGCTCTGCTGGATCAGGCCGGGGCCCCTTCGTCCAGCTCCCTGGATCACCATGGCCCCACCAGAGGCCTCCAGGAGTCCATGAGATCCCAGTCTCCTGGTCCCTCTCCCCTACTTCGGGCCTTTGGAGGTTTAAGTTGGTTCACAAAGCTGTTTTGGATCTAGCGTGTTACAGCTGGAATGAGCGAGAATAATATAAAAGGTGACATTGCATCTTAGATATTGCTAGGGTTTTATTTAATCCAATGATCCAGGTTTTTTTTAATCCAATGAAGGAACCTTGCCCTTCTCTTTTAAGATCTTAAAAGCCCTTCTGTATTGAGGTTTTGGAGATACACAGGTATTTAATCTACGGAACCATCAGTTGAGATGATGTAATGCCATTTAATGAAGCACATTTTAGCCCACGTGGTTCAGCACTTACTGAAGATTTTATTCATTGCCTCTTGCTGCTTTTGCTTATTTTACAGAGTTTCTAAAAAGAATGGCTTTGTACTTACTTTAAGCGGGGGTAGTAAGCTGGCCATTACTGTGTACATTAATAAAATATTTAAACTAAGCCATTGTGATATTTTCAGCAGCTTCACATTGTCAAGATTTTGTAGACAGGATTTTAACAGGTCTTGAAGATATTAGGAAATTCAGATGTTTCTTCTTTTTCTTATTCTTTCTTTTCAGATTTATTCTATGGCTATGAAACTTAATGTGTATTAAACCTAAAACTCCAAATTTAATCAATATAATCAGTTACTCAATGAAAGGAGAAATGAGCCACTTCAGATTAGATAATGGTTGCTAGTCCTCACCAATATAATTGAAAATATCCTGTTTGCATGCACGATTTCATATCTGTACCATAATTAAAGCTGCTCAGCCCTTTGCTTTATTTTCTGTTACCCTTGCATGTTTGAGTGGTTCCTATTTTAAAGCTGTGTTCCAGTAAACTCTCACGCACTTCATCTGAGTTGTGAAGAGGATTTTTGACTTGATAGCTCTGGAAGCAGATGGCGTGGGCTGAAAACACACCCCGACCTCTTACACTTGGGACTCTTTAATTCCTCCTTTTGTGTCTTTCCTTTAGAAAAACCGTTGCCTCTATGTGTTTGGTGGGCAGAGGTCAAAAACATACTTGAACGACTTCTTCAGTTACGATGTAGATGGCGATCACGTGGATATCATATCAGACGGCACTAAGAAAGATTCAGGGATGGGTGAGCTTCCTTTTTCCATTTGTGGCGCTGTCCTACAAGAGAATAAAGCAGCTTAGGATAGCAGTTTTCATCAGATAATAGGAAAAGAATTAAACATTCAGGTTGCTTAACCGTTAAGAAGAAGAGTTAAACTGTCAATTTCATTGACATCACCTTCTGTGTTTTCTTTTAATTTTCCTAGTTACATGTTTCTGATTTTTTCCCCCCCTACCTTGTTTCCCCGGTAATAAGACCTAACCTGAAAATAAGCCCTAGTACGATTTTTCTGGATGCTCGTCATATAAGCCCTACCCAAAAAATAAGCCCCAGTTAAGTGAAACCCCGCCCTCCACCCTTGTGCAGCAACCAGAACAAGATGACACGACTATATTTGCATTAATGCAGATTGTCGTACATGTAAAAAATAAAACATCCCCTAAAAATAAGCCCTAATGCATTTTGGAACAAAAATTTATATAAGACCCTGTCTTATTTTCAGGGAAACACGGTAAAAAATTAACTTGTTTTGGAAATGCGGTAGAAGGCGACTTATTTAAGATCATGTGGTGAGTTCCTAACTAATCAGGAGTTCTGAGATCTGCATTTTAAAAGTGGAATTGGGTACAAAATGGTGAATAAGTTTCCAGAAGGATTAGTTACCGTTTCTGTAAGTGCAGTTTTAGAAGAGGTAGCTGTGTTAGTCTGTGCCAGACCAAAAAAATAAAGAAGACAAAAATGTTGTGGCACTTCAAAATACTAATCGCTAAATTTTAGTGTGTACTTTCATGGGCAATATATTTTGTATTTATTTTATTTGTTTTTAGCTTTTTCTAAACATTTCTAAAATTTGAAATTCTTTGACACCACCTATGCCTATACAGAATAAAATAGTTATCTGGAGTGTTCATGCAGCATATTGGCACACGCTTCCCTAACCCTGGTGGCCTCTAGATACCGAAAAGTGGTATTTCTGACCACGAGTCAGATAACAGCTGGTGGCTTGAACGATGGTAAAATTATACAAATTCTGGCCAGGGAGGTCCAAAGTGACAGTCCTAGCATGGTGGAGAGGTTAGACTATTAGAGTGAAGAACAAATACATCAGGCCCACATTATAGCCGCCCAGAGTAGACTTTGGTCTAGATGGGCAGGGTATAAATTTAATAAATGCATAAAATAAATAATAAATATCAGTTGCAAATGCAAAATCATTGGAAAGGAGTAATTTAGCCAAGGGGACATGATGAGGAATGGGGAAGTGAATCTACATCTTTCACTTTCAGTATTTTTGTCTACTGGACTACTTTGTTTTCTCATTTTCTGCAGAGTTTGAACAGTAACGGGCTACTATGGGGTCACAAGGAGTTGGACACGACTAAACAACAACAGCAAAAATCTGTCGCTTTCTGGATTCTAAGTGAATGTGTGTTTTTCATTTACTACTTCCTCTTGGTAGAAACTTTATATAAAAGAACAACATTCGGGTTTTTCAAGATCTGCCTGTTTCTGCTGCTCTGTTCTGAGAACAGTTATGTAACCCTTTGGGCAAGAAGAAAACCAGTGCATTTCCTGCTTTATTTCTGTGAGGACTGTGATTCTTGAAAGGGTTGCCCCTGCCATTTTAAAAGCAGGTGTAATTTAAGAATATACCACTGCACTTGCACTCTCTGGTCTGTTTCTGCTGCTCTGTTCTGAGAACAGTTTTGTAACCATTTGGGCTATAAGAAAACCAATGCATTTGCTGCTTTATTTCTGTGAGGACTGTGATTCTTGAAAGGGTTGCCCATGCCATTTTAAAAGCAAGTGTAATTTAAGAATATACCACTGCGCTCACACTCTCTGTAGTATAGATATAGATGATTAAGATTACCAGGAGAAAGCCTTTCTTTCGATCCCACCACCTTCACAGCTGCTTTTGGCGGGGACGTGGTAGATGAGCCTTTTCTGTGGCTGCTCTCAGACTCTGGAACTCCCTCCCACTGGAGGCCAGCCTGGCTCCCCTCTTAGCTGTCCTTCCACCAGCAGGCAAAGAAGACCTTCCCTCTTCAGGCGAGCCTTCCCTTAGGCTGCCGGCCTGAGTGGGATTTTTTAATTGATGGTGGTGCTTTATTGTTTTAAATGTGTTTCTCTCCACACACCCCCCCGGTCCTCGTTGCCTCTTTGGGCCCCAGAAAGCACCTCTGTCCTTCCCAAGGCCGCCTCAAGGGCTGCAGGAAGTCCTGGCATCTCCAGATGCATCTCCGGATGCCCACCAGCAAGGGCCATGCCTCGCCTCCCCTCTCCTCGGCCAGCTCGGCTGCTTTTTGGGGAGACCCAGGCTGCCCCCCCCGGCAGCTCCTGGCGGCCATGCCTCCTCCTCCTCCTCCTCCTCCTCACC